AGAGGGCGAAACTAGAGTCTCCAGGTATAAAGCCAGTTGAGAAGAATGAATATCCCCAGAGAGTATGGTTCGAAGTGTTCTGTGCCCCGGATTGTAGATGACTAGCTTCCTTTGATGCAACAGGATGACAATTTCACCGTTGTTTAAGATACGCACAAGCGACATCAATCCCAGGTATTCAGACTCCATCTTCTGCGGAATGGTTGTGAAAATAGTCCAAGACGCCTTCACCCCGTATTCATTCATCAACCACACCTCATAATCCGAGCCATGGGGGCTGTGAAGCATACTCAGGCATCCTCCCAAAACCCCCAAACCATAGAAGGAGAAGTTCTTGTCGCCCTCGCCTGGCAGGGGCACGTATCGGTACGTCTCCTCCGTTACATCAAAAGAAACGATTGAGAAAGGCCTCTCAGCAGCAGCAAGCCGGACGACCCAGTGGAGAGCCCCGTTCAATAGGGTGCCCACCACATTAGACAGAAAGTAACAAGGGAGGGTTTTGATGGCAGCTCTCCATGAATTGGTGTTCAAATTATACATGTCAAGGTGGGTGGCGAAATTGCCATTCCTACTGGAACAAGAGGCCCTCACGATTTTGTAATCGTCGTTGCTGGAATCATAGCCAAAGCCATAGAAGTAGTCCTTACCGGAATAATAATTATTGGTTGGCGGTGGAGGTGGAGGTGGAGGTGGTACTGGTTGAAGTTGCCTGGTGGATGGATTATAAATCATCATATCTTGAGAGTGAAGCACCAAACATAAGAGGCCATTACAAGATCCAACAATCTTCATGTCTTGAACTGCCTGGTGCCTCATCGGGGACTCATGTACCTCCTCCACGACTACTACTCTAGTACTAGTTGTGCGAGCTGCTCCAGCTGCATCTGCCTCTGCTGATCCGGCTTCAATTCTAGTATCGAGTACTTGTACATGTACCGACTTAAGGAGGGACAAGGAGGAGGAGAGCATGACTAGTGCTTTTGATGATCTAGTTTTACCATCATCAACATCATCACCCTCATCTTGTTTTGGAGAGTGGTTGTGGAGGTGTGACTTGATGAATTTTGGGTCGGAGATGAGAGCAAGCCATGGCTTGCATACGCATCTGAAGCGAAGCAGCGAATTCACCGGCAGCTGCAAGAGGATTTCCTCTACAATCTCACAAGGAAGCTGGCGCTGATGATGTTGTTCATCTTCTTCCTCTTGTTCTTTATTGTTGTTGAGATATTGATGATCCAATAATGAGGTTTCCATCGATATTGTCGTCACTTGTTGTTGTTGTTGTGTGGAAGTGGATTGGATGTTGAGAGTTGATGAGATCCAATGTTGATCCATGTCCATGTGCAGCAGGTTGAGACACTCCGTCTAATCTATTCACGTACCTACAAGTAAAATATTCTGTCAATTTCAGACTAGCTAGTGTCCCAACCTTGGATATAAGTACACACAAAGTAAGAGCAAAACATATATTATTTATAATGAAGACAGTTTATACGTCGTCTACTTGTGCTAGTTGCATAATTGCATAAATGCGTTGCACCTACCCCAGACAACAACGTACGATTATTTGTGTCCACCAATGGAATTTTTACAGGATTCCTAGCTTGTGAGGAGTAAGGATAAGGAACAGCTTTTTTAGTAGAATAAGTTTGATATATAATATGCATTAATTAGAAGACTAAGACTAAGACTAAGCTAACAATAATTAATTAATTAAAAAGAATATATCCATCATACATTCACACACAAACAGCCATGAATATCCATGAATCCATGAATCCATGAATCCATGATCAGGTAAGTAGCTAGCTAGCTAGAGCCTAGACGAGTCTAGAACTTGGAGAGTTAACCATGAGAGCAAACCCCAAAGAAACAAAAAGAGCAAGCTAGCTAGAACCTACCCCAAACAAATAGATTGCATCTTCACGAGACAATGCAATCAACCACCCGTGGGCCGTGCCAATCCCATATTTAAACAGAATCTAATCGAAATATAACATCTACTACTTGTTTTGATCCTCTACATAGTATTAAGATGGGATGGCAAGTTTAATTACCGGCCGCTGACCGCTGACCGCTGACCGCTGACCGCTGATGGATGGAACAAATTAGGCGCTCGATCGCTGCTGGGTGTGAAGTGAAGCTGCTGCTGCCAGAGATTATTCTTGTTCAAACTGCTTCATTTCCAATCTCTCTCTCTCTCTCTCTCTCTATGAGTCTATAGTCTATATAGACATATACATACAAAGAAAGCGTAAGAGTAAGAGTAGACCCCCCCGGCGCTGTTTAATTTATACTTATACCTAAGTTGTCAATTGATTGGAGGTCGGCTGAATCGAGCGGATATTTTGAAGCCTACTTTGAATTTGAACTTTCAGGGAAGGTTCGTTTCTTTGCTAATTAATTATAAACTAGTCCTTTAAGTGTTTTTTATAAATATTTTCTTTAAATAATTAACTATGTATGTAGGTGTAGGCTGTAGCTCATTTCATTTAATGAAATTAATTTGTAAAAGTCCTTCGTCAAAGGAGTCTATTGATGAAAATGTCAAATAAAATGGCGTGATAGCTCAGCTTTTTCAGCTATGACTATCAGATCATCTTCTTCTGCCACAAATTAAGTAATAATCCACCGGGCATTGCCATTTTAATATTATAATATTATAAACTCAAAATGGTCCTCATTTGGAAAAATCAAAGGGCAGCAATGCAATGGTCAATTAAAATGCAAATATTAAAAGCAAATTAAGGGTTTGTGTTCAACAAAAATTGTCTATAGATAAGAATAAAATATATAGAAAAAACCTATTGAAATTTAATTATAGAATTGTCTTGTCTAGTGTGCTAGCTACAGCTAGCTATATATAATATTACATTATATTTTTGTTTTTGTTGCATACATAGAATATAATTTTTCATCTTTAGTTCACATACAAACCATTACCTACCACTAGGGTAATTTATGATAATATATTAATGTGCATAATGCATCCATACTGCAACGATGGGATCCAAGTGACATAGCACATACATGCCATGCATGCCCCATCATTATCAGACATCAGACATCAGACATCAGCCATCGCACTTAGAGTCAAGAGGCACAATAAGATATACAACAAAACAAAGGCCATCCAACTAATTAATGGGACACTGAAACCACTTGTTTTCCAACGTTGCGACCACTAAAAAGTCCAACCAATGCTGCAGGTCCATTCTCAAGCCCTTCAGCAATGTCTTCTAAATATACCACTCTTCCCTCTCTTATGCAAGGCAGAATATACTCCAAGTACTTGGGATACAGGTGATAGTAATCCTGGACTGTAAATCCTTGCATATGGATCCGCTTATATATCAGACACATCAAATTCATCACACCTTCCGGTCGATCAAGATTGTACTGTGATATCATTCCACACACTGCAATGCGGCCATGGACTCTCATGTTAAGGAGGACCGCATCAAGCAAATTTCCCCCAACATTCTCAAAGTATATGTCAATGCCTTCTGGAAAGTACCTGATAATGGAAGCAAGTGTGAGTTTAGTATGATCCAATCCAAATCACTGTAGTCACATGATAGTTTCATCTGCAGTCACATTAATTCTCATGAGACTTTTCTTCACTTTTGTGTCATGATTGTCTGATATGTTGGCTATCACATGTCATATCTGCATAACAAATTGTTGATGTGTGATGGGCAGTATGCATAACATCAACACAAAGAATGGAAATAATTCAGATGGCAAAGTTTTTTCATATCCCTAGTGTGTGTGTCATCCACATTAACTTCATTCCCTGCACTATATATAAAGAATTCATGAAATGGCACAGTGCTTTCTCAATATGTTTTTTTTTTTTTTTTTTTGGGAATTAGAAGATGGCTAAACCTCATTGCATATGCCTAGTATATACCTAAACTTAATGTTGCATAGCATATTTGCAAGTTACTTTTGCATAAAGTTGCAGAGGTAGATGAAGCTTCTCCAAATTTGTGTGGTAGATTGTGAAGTGTTTATGGAAGATTGACAGAGATGTATATGGATGAAGCTGAAGCTGAAAATATACTCTTCACAGGACATATAAATTATTAAATGCACATTCTTCGAGTTTCAGAGCAAAATTTAGGCTCCATTTGCAGCGAACTATGCACTGACCTTTTCAAAGCTGCGTTCAAGTCATGCTCTTCCTTATAATTGAAAGCTTCATCAAATTTAAGCTTATTCTTCAAAAGTTCAACCTAGTATAAAAATACGCAAAAGATAATCATTTTTTGAAAACTATATACAACCAGACAGCCCCACAAGCCACATGCAACAATCTTAAACTCCCATACTCATTATTTAAAATATTTAAGTTAATCTTGGAATAAATAACTCCATTGTTAAAAATTTGCACCGAAAGTGAAAAATGCTTTTGGACTTCTGCATTAGAATTTGCACCCAAGAATGTAAAACGGAAATTACCACTACTCAAACATAAGCAAGAAAATCCAACTAAACAATCATACTATACATTCTGGATAGCAGCCAGCCATAGAAAATGGCACCTAAGTTGAAATGAAAAAGTGAACTGAAAGCATACATTTTCCTTACTTCCAAAATTTCAAACAGAAGTCAATAACGAAGAATTTTCACAAAGAAAACTACAAAATACTCCAACATTGTCAAGCATATCTAACTAAGAAACATATGATATGTTCTACTCTTCCAGATACCAGCAAAGATAGGGCAAGCAAATTGGGGAAAAAGATGCCAACTTTATACCTTTTCTTTACTTCCAGCACTTCCAACAACATAACAACCCAACAATTTTGCAAATTGTCCAACTAGCTGACCAACTGCACCAGATGCTGCTGAAATGAAGACATATTCTCCCTTCTTAGGAGAACAAACTTCGTTGAAGCCTGCATAGGCAGTCATGCCGGGCATACCTATGGAAGAAGGAAAACAGAAATGCGCACAATTTACAGGGGGCTTTGAGGTTATAAGTATAAGAGCATGAAAAAAGCACACACACAGACTGTCCTAGTAGTACGTCTTCTGAAACCATTAAAAAGATCAACACAAGACTACGCTTTACTACTCATAAGTCCCAACTCCACCATAGTTATCTAGGGGCACAATTGAAGCCGATATCAGAATGTCTTTTATAACTTGTGCAACAAATATAAGATCATAAGTGGTCATCAATACAATTTCCAATGGCTAACCACTAATTTAATAATACAAGTGCAATATTGTTGTGTCTGCTTTCTAGAATTCACCAATAAGCTACCATCCCACCCAAGAATTGAATTTCACCGAAGATGTTTAGAGAAAGGTACCATTAGCAATAAATGATTGACAGACACCCCTTAAGTATGGTTGTTTGAGACACACAAAGAAATGGTCAATCCATATGAAACTAAGCAGAGCATAGATCATCAATCCAAACATCAGGGAGGAGCAAACAACTTACCAAGAATGCCGGTATAGTAGGAAAGGGGTACATCAGCGTGTTGGATCTTATGGAAGCTTTCTGGCGTGGTGATTAGGCTAAAATCCTCCCATTTGGTTGTGCCCCAGACCAAGTCACCTTCCTTAAAGTCTGGATGCCGGGAATCCAAAACTTTAGCGACTCCATAGCCACTCAAGGGCTGCCCAATGTTTTTCATCAATAATTGATTGCTAACAACTAGAGTCTCAACACTGTATTATACAACATCAACTTGAAATTTCCAAAAAAAAAAAAAATGGAATCAAAGGTTCTTAATTGGGATGAAATTTCTGCTTCAAAATTAATTTTAAAAACAAATTAGACGCATTTTGTTTTGAGAGAAATGAAGAGAATAAGTGATAAGTGGTGATCTTACAGAGCCAGGGGCAAAGGGTGTAAAATAAGAAGAAGTTTCGTCTCCAGGTTTCCTCATACGGATGCGCATCACAGGATCACAGGACAAGTAGAGGTTCTTGACCAAGACGGAAAGGGAAGGTTCTTCTTCGTGAGGGATTTTCAACTTGATAGTAGCAGTATCGCTAATGTACATGTCTGACTCTTTGGGAACGCCTTCCACATAATTCTTGAATATCACTTGTTTGTTCTTCACTTCCGCCATCGTCGCTTTATCTGTCTGCGCCTCTCTCGCTCTCTCGCTCTCTCTCTCTCTCTCTCTCTCCTCTTGACGGACGAACGGACCTCGGTTCTTTTTGTATTGTATTTATTTTCGGCTTTATTTTCCTATACTTCAAGTCAAGTTTTTTATTTATGGTACACACAACCCAACCCAACCTAATCCAACCCAACTCAACCCAACCCATCACTGGTTCGATGTGTTAAATTAATTGGGCCTAGGATTTATTGGAGTTAGATATATCCCTTTATTTTTTATGGTGCAACTTGATGCATCGCATTATATGTCCATCTGGAATTAGAAACTAAAATAGAAAACACATCTCAACTCTCAATCAATAATATTAATAATACGCTTACTATTATATTAATTCAGATCTCTTACAACACTCCAATCCATTTAAGGGATTGAATTGGGTTGGGTTGGGTTGAGTTGGGTTGAGTTGCTTGGCCAGGCTCCAAGGAAGCCCAATTCAATGGGCTGCCAACACCGCAGACTCAAGCAAATACATATATCATCAACCACCTACCTAAGTAAACATCTTCCTAACCCATTTAATTTAATTTAATTACTACTACAAAGCCTAGAAGCTAGGCTTTAGGCTTTAGGCTTTAGGCTTTAGGCTTTAGGCTTTAGGCTTTAGGCTTTAGGCTTTAGGCTTTAGGCTTTAGGCTTTAGGCTTTAGGCTTTAGGCTTTAGGCTTTAGGCTTTAGGCTTTAGGCTTTAGGCTTTAGGCTTTAGGCTTTAGGCTTTAGGCTTTAGGCTTTAGGCTTTAGGCTTTAGGCTTTAGGCTTTAGGCTTTAGGCTTTAGGCTTTAGGCTTTAGGCTTTAGGCTTTAGGCTTTAGGCTTTAGGCTTTAGGCTTTAGGCTTTAGGCTTTAGGCTTTAGGCTTTAGGCTTTAGGCTTTAGGCTTTAGGCTTTAGGCTTTAGGCTTTAGGCTTTAGGCTTTAGGCTTTAGGCTTTAGGCTTTAGGCTTTAGGCTTTAGGCTTTAGGCTTTAGGCTTTAGGCTTTAGGCTTTAGGCTTTAGGCTTTAGGCTTTAGGCTTTAGGCTTTAGGCTTTAGGCTTTAGGCTTTAGGCTTTAGGCTTTAGGCTTTAGGCTAGGTACCTGATTCCATGGCCTGGTCCACATGCAACATTTTCAATCCACAAATTGGTTGTGCCAGGGCCAATTGAGACACAATCATCACCAGTTGCAATTTTGGAGTTGAGAATGGTGACTTCAGATGACATTTGAACGTGGATGCCATCGGTGTTGGGGCTGTTACCGGAGGCGGAAACCTTCACACCTTGCATTTTCACATTTTGACACCCGTTGATCACTATGTGGAACATTTGGCTGTTTAGGGAGACTAATCCACTCACCACAATGTTGTTCGAGCTGGAAAAACCCAGTGTCTGCACATACATAACTTCATTAGGGGCCAGCTTGTCTTCGTGTGGCAACATACATACATACATACATACATACATATATGAATATGATGATCATGATTCATGAATCATATGCATGCATAATGCATTAACAAATTAATTATATCCTTCCTTTGGAGCTTGGTGTAACCAAAAGCAATTAATAAAGTAAATGGTAATTAAGTCTGTTTGACCCTTGGAATTTCTGAGTAATATATAAATAAAGCACATGCATATTTGTGATCATCAATGATTTTGTTCCTTTCCTTGTTATGACAAAATGGCATTATCTATAACAGAAATAGATTAATGCTCTTAATTGTAATAATTAAGAGGGATGATCAGTTACCAATTCCCCATATTTATTAGAGCTGTAAAAAGTCATCCTGTAATTTTAAAACCGTCGGCGTCAGAGCTAGTTTGCATGCATGAGGCCCATTTGTTTAGCTAGAGACAAGCTCAAGTAAAAATATGAACAGTACGTAACCGCTCAAGCAAATATGACGTCATATCTATCTATCATATGATCTTTAATTGTATTAAAAACTAGGGAAATAAAAAGTAGTAATTGATTTGATTATAATTAATTTATATATCATTGCCTTAAAATAAAGGGAAGGAATTACTACTTACGGTTGCTCCGCTGGGGCAACTCTTGGTTGAGGCCTTGCAAGCCCACAAGCCAGTGCCCTGTCCGTCGAGAAGTCCTCCGGAAATGGTGACCCCATTCACATGCTCAAAGAAAATCCAGTTAGCGGTGTTTCCAATGACGCGGTAGTCGGAGGGGGCCACGAGGGTGCCGTCAATGCGGAAGGTGATGGCGCTGTTCTTGCAAGGCCCGCTGAAGGCAGCATTTCGAAGCAGGAACCTCCCAGCGGGGACATAAATCACAGCGGGCTGCACGGACGCACAAGCTTCAGACCAGGCAGAGAGGAAGGCCTTGGTTGAGTCAGTCTTGCCATCTGCTATGGCTCCTAAGCTGCTCACGCTGTAGGTTACGACTGCAGCATGCGCACCGCCCATCATCAAGACTAGTTGTGAGAGAAGGAGGAGGAGGAGGAGGCTTTTGGGGTTCGCCATTTGCTTTCACTAAATAACTATAGCTCTAGCTAGAGGATGAGTTGAAGGAGGACTCTGGAGGATATCGCTGATCGAGATGTGGAAGTTGAAACGGTTTGAGGGGTATTTATAGAGACGAGAGAGTGACACAGAGAGAGAGAGAGAGAGAGAGAGAACCTTGTAGTTAAGTTAGTTACTAGTGCACAGAGCATTGAAAGAAGAGTAGAGATAAGGAAAGAGGGGTATATTGCTTTTCTTAATCTTTGGCTCTACTTTACCAAAATGACCTTACGTAACTAACTGGCTGGGTCGTTTTTTCGTTTCTACTTTTGAATTGTAATCACGAAAATGCAATGCATGCATCACATTCTAAAGCGCTTGGTAGCTTCCAATC